AGCAGTCTGAGCCTGGTGAGTCATTGGAGATAATGCCCTAGAAATCCTAGCTATCCAACCAATCCACAGACAAGGGTCTAACCAGGTTACCCCAAGGCAGGCTCCTAATGAAGACAACTACTTCAGTCTGCTCAATGTCGCTTCTTTGTTGGGGCTACTCCCAGCTACCTGGTAGTTCTGACAGTCTGTTCCTACTCCAGCCACGGCCAATGACCTGGCTGTCCTGACTCTGACACCCAGACCAGCCGTGTGGAAATGACTCTCCCCATTCTAGGGTTATGGGAATGAGGAGTTCTGATGGGATTTCATTGCAAAGATCACATCACTATTTCCGTCCTTTAATATATATATAACTTCTGTTTATCTTGTTGAGTAGTGAGACATCAAGGGACCATATTCTGACCTTTCACTAACTAATGCTGTATGCATTCCCTCCTTTCTGGGTCCAAGCAAACTAGCCTAAGAGAGATTTTAGCTATAACTTGAAGCAATTGGCTTTGAGCAGAGAGTCTTTTACAGTTGGCATTTAGGGCCCTTCTGAGGGTCCTAAATGCCAACTGTACCTTCTCCTCTCTCCACGGTGGAATATCAGAGCTAATTTTGATTCCATTAGGAGTCTAGTTACAGGCTGCTGGGCTGAATTCACTTTGGGCCAATGGTGCACCAGCCCTGAGGCCATCCCCTCCTACAAGCTGAAATCACTAAAGAGCTAGATGGGTTTGTCAGTATAATGGGGAGAGATAAGGGACAGGGCTAAAGTGTTACTAGGTATGGTGGGAGTGTAATATACGAGCATACACTGGAAGGCTGCCTGGCCCCTCTCTCACACCAAGGTCAAGCCACCAGTTAGGAGAGGTGGGACGGGGGGAGGCATAAGAAACACTAAAAGCCAAAGAAAAGCCTGGCCTTGACCAGAACCCAACTCACTCCTTACCCCTCCCATGGGATACAAAAGAGATGGGATAAAGACCCCAGACTCACCACCCTCCAAAGTGGAACACAACCATAAGTTGTAAGGGGTGTGACTAGGAGCATGCACTGCAGGCATATCTGGGCCTGCTAAGGAGGAGGAGGTGGGAATAAGAAATGGGGACATGGGCAAAGGCTCTGTGGTGTCAGAGCTATGGAGAAGCTTGCTTGAAACTAACCCCAGTAAACATCACATTGCCTGCACTTTGGACTTCCAGTCCTCTACTTCCTGTCTGCGCGACTGGGAGTTGGTCTGGGAATTGGTCCTGCTTCGAGCAGGGGGTTGGACTAGATGACCTTCAGGGGTCCCTTCCAACCCTGAGATTCTATGATTCTATGACAAGAACCAGGGGAGGGGGTGAAGGGAAAGCCCCTAACAAAGCTATGCCTCAAACTGGGCCCCGTGGGGTCTGGAGGGAACAGCTGTGCCAGATGAGATGCTGGATCCCCAGGGAGCACTAGGACTAAGGGGAAAGCAGCAAGGGCCTGTCCCCCGGGGCCCTGCATCGGAGCTGCCATGGTTCCCTGGATGCTGCACGTGGCACTGAGGCCCTGGCTCCCCTTCTCCCAGCAGCTCCATGCAGGGCAGCTTGTTCTGTACCTGGTCAGGTTGCCCGTTGTCCAGGCCACGTACCTGAACCGGCACTATCGGCCCATTCCCAGCCTCTATTCTGTAGGGAGGAGTGTAGCGGGGCGGCTGCCCCACTGATGGAGATGGGGGGTTAAAAGCAGCCCTGGAGAGGGCTGTGGCTGGGAAAAGCTAGGCTGAGGGGAAGCAGCCACAGCTGTGGCCAGCTCAATTAAGGCCCAGCTGGCCTTGATAAGAGGCCTGTGGGCTAGAAGCTGAAGGAGTCTCGAGAGAGAGAGAGAGAGGAAGAAAGAAAGAAAGAAAGAAAGAAAGAAAGAAAGGCAGGCTAGCTAGCTAGCTAGCTAGCTAGCTAGCTGCCTGGGAGCAAGGTACCTGAAGTGGAGCAGTGCTGGGGAAGGGCAAAGGGAGCTGGGGAGCTCCAGCCTGGTAAAACCCCAGGCTGAGGCCTTGGTGAAGGCCTATGGAGGTACTGGGGTTGCAGAGGTGCAGCCTGGGGTTAGGCAGAGGCAGCTGGTCTAAACCCCCCTTGCTGATGATAAGTGGCCATTACAGCCTGCAGTCTGCCCCAGTGAGCCGGGGCTAGATGGTGACTGGCAGTAGCCACTGAGGCAAGGTGGGTTTAGAGGGTTGGTGGCCCCCCGGGGGGGGAGATCCAGAGCCTGTGGGGTGCTGCTGGGGCAGAACCCTGAGGTAAAGGGCAGTGGGGTCTAGGAGGGACATGGGGGGCCTGCAGCAGGTGAGCCACCGGCCACTAGGAGGCGCTCCAAGGCTGGAAAGGAGCTAATTCCCAGGATGACCAGCAGGAGGCACCACACTGGTGAGTCTCACTTTGCTACGGGGAGGTTCTGGGGATCAGCCATGGCTGTTCTGTAGGGGTGGAGAGGGGAGCGTCTGACAGGCAGTGGCAGGGGGAAGAGCCCTAGACAGGCTGTGAGGAGAGGGGGCAGGCTCAGGTCACAGGCCCCCCAGGCCTTGAGGGAGCTATTCAGCAGCAGTTAGCATATACAGGTTGTTGTTTCCTGCTCCACTGGGCCAGGCTATGTCAGCTTCCCCAGTGTCCAGCTCACGGCGAGGCAGGGATGAGAGCGACCTGGCCTGAGCTGGGGCTGGGGAAGTCTGAGCAAAGGCTGGTGGATTGGGGGACAGTCACTGCCTGGCTTCGGTCCCTCGTTTTGCGGTGCAGGGTCCTGGTGGCTCCTTGGCTGCTCTGCGACCCCCAAGCAGTAGCCATGGCCAAGAGCACTTCCCTGTCACTTAGCCAGCTGAGCTGGCAGACCAGGGCCCAATGATCCCCCGTCAGCACCAGGCCGGGAGGTGTCTGCCCCTCCCTGAGGGAGCTGCCCCCAGCTAGCACATTGCCATGTACCCATGCTCCACACCAGCAGGTGACGCACTTCTGGATGCAACTGAGTTCAATACCAATGGCCTAACCATTGTCAAGTTTCCTGTTGTTGCCCCAGCAAAGGAGAGTTTTAAGGAGGGCTTTGAAGGACGGTGACAGAGCTTGGTGGGTGTTAATGAGGAGCTCCTCCCAAGCATGGGGGCTGCGTGGGGGGGAAGCACAAAGCTCTTTGTTAGAACATTTTACAAGTGGGTGATGGAGGCTGACACCATGGGCCGATTGGAGGTCGGAGTCGATAGCGTGAGTGCGCGTGAGAGATAATAGGTAGGGTGGGATTGACCCTGAAGGGCCTTGCAGCTGATGCTTGATGCTACGTCGAAGGGAAGCCACTGAGCAGTGATCTCCTCAAAGGGCCGGGCTAGGAGAACGATCTTTGCAGCAACATTCACCTGCAGGAATCGAGATGATGGGAGCCGGGACAAGAGCTCTAGCTCTCTAGATGGATAGAAAAGGCCACGTCTTAGGGACGTAATGCAAAAAAGAATTGTCGGGATTGAGACCTAAACCTCCATCTAGGATCTCACCGTTAGGCTGAGTCAAAGATGGCTTTTAGGTTATGGCTCAGCATGACTGGCATGGTGGGGTGGGGCCCCAGGGGTTAAGGAAGGAGGTAGTGGGGAGAGTGGGGCAGGGTGGGGGGGAAGAGTAGGAGATCTGTGTAGTCAAGTGGGGCTTGAGCTGACGGCTAGAATTCATGGGGAGCTGTCAGCGGGACAGGCTGAGATTCCCCTTTGAGCAGAAGACGACCGGTCTGGGCACAAAGGTAGAGCCGTGAGGTGTCGGCAGAGATGGCGGTTGGGTTGGGGTTTGTGGATGAGTTTACCCAGAGATACGGTGCAGAGGGAGAAGAGAAGGGGACGAAGGACAGAGCCTGTGGAATCCCCATGGAAAGCTGGAGGGCGGATGAGGAGGATCCTCCAAAGGACACATGGAAGGAGCCATTAGAAAGGCAGGAGGAGAACCAGGAGAGGCTGGAGTTAGGGAAGCCAAGGTTTCAAGAAGGGCAAGGTTGACTGTGTGGAAAGTGACTGACCGGGCACGGAGGGTGGAGGACTGGCTCTGAGCTCTAGCTAGGCAGAGGTCACTAGAGACTTTGGTGCCAGGCCAGTGATGTCGGTGGGGTGCAAGAGGCAGAGGCTGGACTGGAGAGGGGCTCGGCTGGAAATGGAGGAGAGGAACTCCAGAGAGCGACTGTAGACAGCGCATTCATCGAGCTGAGCGAGACGGAGAAGGGAGCGAGACGTAAAGGAAAAGAGTAGGGGGGGCTGAGAGTGGGTGTGAGGGAGATCAGGGTCACTGGGGTCAGCGGGGGCTAAAGCAGGTGAGACACTGCTATGTCTGACTGGGGAGAAGGAGGCGGGAGCTGTGAGATGGGAAGTAAAGGCCGGACAAGGGGAGAGGGAAGGTCACATTGTATTTTCTCTCGGAAGGGAAAGCTGTGCACTGAACCCTCCCGGAACCACCCCCAAGCAGGCGGCACCGCTGTCCTCCCACGGGAGCCACTCCTTGCAGTGGGCAGCTCTCCACTCTCCTTGTCCTGCCTGCCCCAAAGGCATCTCCTCCTACAGCAAATCCTGGGAACCCTGGACACTTAAACCACACACCCAGGAACAGCTAACCTGAGCGAGGGAGAGACCAGACTGGCCAACCAGCTCCACTCCCTAGGAACCACGGCAACCCCTCTGGAAATCACTATCTCCACCTCTGAGCACCCTCACCTGGAAAAGGGGAGGGGAGTTTGCCTGAGGGACCTCAGGGTCCAAGGTACTAGAGGGAGGCTGGTGCCTCCTGTGACGAAGTGGGACTGTTCTTAATGTTTCCTCTGAATAGTGTGGGGGTGCCTCAGTTTCCCCTAGGCAGTTCTTAAGTATCTAGGTGGTGGGGTAAGGGTGTATGATCATTGCAGTGCCCTAGAGGGCATGTGTGTGCAGGAGTCTGGACACAGAGAATGGCCGACACCCTGTTTCCTGGCAACTGATGGCCTGGGCCCTTCCCCCGCTGCAAGGTGAGAGCTGAAGGGTTGGAGAACAAAGGAATCAGGTGACCTACTGGCCCGGGAAAGGAACAAAGCCCAGAGGAGGAGGGGCTGGAGGGGGTTTTTCAGTTTGGGGCTGGCTGGGACATGGAGTGAAGTGCAGACGTGGTTGTCTGGCTCACTGCCCCCCAGAATGGACCCAGCTGAGGGGTCCCGTTCTCTGCACCTGCAAGCTCTGTTTTAGACCATGTTCCTGTAGTCTAATAAACCTTCTGTTTTACTGGCTGGCTGAGAGTCACGTCTGACTGCGAAGTTGGGGTGCAGGACCCTCTGGCTTCCCCAGGAGCACCGCCTGAGAGGACTCGCTGGGGGGAAGCGCAGGGAGGGGCAGAGGATGCTGAATGCTCCGAGGTCAGACCCAGGAAGGTGGAAGCTGGGTGAGCTGTGTGTCCTGAAGACAGGCTGCTCACAGAAAGGCGACTACCCCAGAGTCCTGACTGACTTCATGGGGAGCAGTTCCAGAGCATCGCCCAGGGACTCCGTGACAACTGGTGGCAGAGGTGGGATGTACTGCACCCCGTGGATGGCGCTTCCTGCAGTAAGTGACTGGGGAGCAGTAACACGAAGGGGGATTGCCGAGGACCAGGCCTGCTGAAGGCTCAGAAAGGAGCGGTTTCGGGGGGCGGTTAACCCCTGGGAGTGTGTGACCAGCGAGAAGTACTGTGCAGTAATGGGGTCCCCCTGGGGACTGCAGTGAGCAGTCTCAGGGGCGGAGGAGTCTGCAGCTCGACCCTGGCAAAGAGGTGGTGACCTCGAGAAGGGCTGGCACACTAGGGGTTCTCCCTGGAAACCGTGGGGAGCTGAGAACACACGGGCCTGTGAGTCCACAACAACTTGGGAGGAGCGGAGTGATGGCCTGTCACCGTCTCCTTAAGAAGGACATTGTCACCCTGTGCAAAAAGAGAGGGTTGAGCGTTGGAAAGTTCACCAAAGCAGAGTTAATCGTGCAGCTGGAGGAGGATGACCGCTCTAAGGAACAGATTCCTGACCCCAACTGGGGCTATAGCAGGATCTGGGAGCAGCTGAAGCGGGAGCCAGGCATCGCCAAGACTCCTGTCCCCGACCAGACGAGGGTCTTCACGATCGGGTTCCCCATCGGGGGATCAAGACGGACGGGATTGGAGCTGAGTCTGAGAGAGCAAGAGGACTGTGGGAGACAGCGAGAGCCCGAGAAAGAGCTGCAGAAGCAGCAGCAGCATGAACTGGCGGTGGGGGAGCGGAGAGGCCTAGGGGACCTGTAGCCAGACAGCCAGCCCCCCCCCCCCCCCCTCAGACCAGCATTGCTGGAAACACAGGAGGAAGCAGGAACAGGGCACTTAACATATATTCCAGCACAGCCTTTGAAGCACAGGTGTGCTGCTACAATGTGCCTCTGGGAACAGATATGACGATTAAGCTCACAGCAGGCAGAGGCCCTGTGACAGACCTGGCTCTTAGCCCCTACTAAGTAGTGTGATGCACACACACCAACATCCTAGGTGGGAAAATATTTACCCTGATAAAAGAAATGTCCAGTAGTCGAAACTTATTGTTTCTCTCCCTTGCAAGTGTAAACTACTCTTGCAAAAGCTGGCGTCACCCCGACAGACCAGCCTCAATTTGGCATAAGAAAGGAGAAAGAGAATAAAGGAGTACAGAGGTATAAGTAGGGGACCTACAGCACCATGATTTTTGAGTGCTTTTCACTATCTATCTGCTGGTCAGATAAGTGACAGCCTCCCAAGGCTTCTGCAGCTAAGAGGGTCCCTACGCCTTGTCCCTTATTCGTCTTTCCGCGGAATTGAGTGACCGATCCTGGCTTGGCACCGCTGGAATCGAGAGATGCAAGGAGGGTAAGAAGCACCCACACCTGATCTCCTATCTTTAGTGTACACATATTTTGAAATAGAGCTCTATACTTTGTTTTCTTTCTTTGGGATTGTGGCTTCAGTTTTGTAACTTGTTTGTGTGTGTGTAACATCTCTACATTTAAATAAGTAGGCACTAGCAATTTTGTAACCACATGATTAGAATCTAGCTTAATAAATTTTGGTAACCATTTATGCATAAGCCTGACTTGTTTTCTCTGGTTTACTGTAAAGCAGCCATCACAATTAAAGAACCTCAGCCGTTTTGGCTCTAAAGCCTGGCCATTAGGTGAGAGTACTAAGAGCCTAGCGTTGAGTTGTGCCGCCTCCACGGGGCAAACTCTTGGGGCACCTGTCAGTCAATCCTGGCTGCCCGCTGCGAAGGAGCTCTGAGCTCTAGCAGTTAAAGTCACGGGTGGTTAGGACCTTGGGGCATCCGTCAGCCTAGCCCTGGCTGCCCGCCGCGAAGGGACAGTGCGTCCTAGCGGTTAAAGTCACGGATGGTATAAACGGGCATAGCTGGCACCTCACCAAACATCCTTGGCCGTCGGCTAACAGAAATTGGCGTCACGAACAGGATTGTGATATAGGCTGCAGTACAGTAACACAATGAAACCAGTCATGATAAACACCACAGAATTCCCTGAGCTAGAGAAAAGTTTGACCCAAGAGGGATGGGGAAATCCTCTGTGGAGCAAAGAACTGCTGGAGAAATATTGGGGAAAACCAGCAGAGATCTGGCAGCATTTCTGTAACTGGAGAACTGCCTGCAAGATGAAGAAAGGGAAAGGAAAAGGTGCTTGTATATGGCTGCTTACTAACATTTGGCAAGCTGCCTGTAAGGATTATCATAGTCTGGCAATAGAATTTAATAGGCTACAACAGGAAAGGGACACACTGCGCAAGGAATGCCAGAATTTAGATACCAGAGTAAGAACACTGAATAGGGATATGGAACATCTTCAGAAAAGATTACTTCCCTTAATTGAGAAAGAAGGGATAGAACGAAGGGAAAAGCTGGAGACTAAAACATGCAGTATCAACCGGGCTAAAGTTGAGACTGCTCTCTGGCTAGACCCTGAGGAATGGGATGGAGACATTTGGGATTCAGCAGATGAGTCCCCCTCCTCTGAGGAGGAAGGTCCCTCTGTAAAATTAAGACCAGCTATCACACATCACAAATCAGAAGAACATGAGGAAAATTTGAGTGGGGCAGAGCTGGATGAAGAAGGGGATGACAATTATCCATCCACCTCTTCAAAAACAAAGAAGGGAGGTAAAAAGGGAAAAGGGAGTAAAGCTCCAACACACTTTACCAAAATTACCACCCGCCAATATACTCCCATGGAGTTAAAAACAATCCAGGGAGATTTTGCTAAAAAGCCTGAGGAAGGTATAATAGAGTGGCTGGTCCGCCTCTGGGACACTGGGGGTGGATATATACGCCTGACAGCCCAAGAAACTGAGCGCCTTAACTTAGGTGCAGGAATATTCCTGGAACACTCAGAGGGGAACACCCCTAAAACACTTTGGTCTCTGGCTTGTCAATGGGCAAGAGGAATTTACCCAGCAGACCGAGATGAACCCACAGTAATGCACTGGACCAACATAGATGAGGTAAAAACAGCTCTATTAACTGTGGCTGTCATTAGCATGCTTGGCCAAAACCCTCAAGGGTTAGCCTATGAAAGCCCATGGGAGGGTCAGGTAGATGTAGATGATCTCAGACCCCTGCTTAAGGGAGTTCCGAGTAACCACAGGGCTATGGCACTGTCCCTTAGATCAGAAGCTGCAGCACATAACAGTACCTTTCGGGCACTGCTAAACCTTCTGGTGTCATACTTTAGAGAATTCGGAGACATCAGAGCACTGACAGGCAAAGCTAAGATGCGTTCCCTTCAGGGAAACAAGGGGGCACCATCTAAAGGACATAAAAACAAGCGAGAGCCAACCCAGGAGGAAAAGGAGCTTAGAGCCAAGTTGTGGAGACAATGTCTGGCTTTAGGTTATCCCAGAGATGTGATAAATGGACTGCCCACAGAGCGGCTAAAATTATTCACCACCTTTAAAAGAGCTGACTGGGAGACAACTAATGCTACTCCCAGTGCACCTCTGCAGCTCTCTCCTCTTTCCCCACCTGCAGACACCCTGTATACTCCATTGCTGCAGCAACTGCAAGAGTTACCAGAGCAGGGAAACTAGCTTGCGGGGGTCAATCTCCTCTCCTAATAAACCAGCTTAAATCCAAAGAGGAGAAAACAACAGCAAAAGACCCCCGGATACATGTAACTGTAAATGACAAACACATTATTCCTTTCTTAATGGACACAGGGGCTCAAATGTCCATGATTAAGCGAGAAAGTTTTCAGGGCTCGCCACCTACTGGCGGAAAGCAGGTACTTGTTACAGGAGTAAATGGCAGTACCATAACTTACCCATTAGTTAAGATAAAACTGGATATCCCATTGCAACCCCACCATCAGCCCCGAAAATATGAGGTGATTTTGGGCAATGCCAACATACTGGGCATGGATGTTTTAAGAGGAAAGAAGGGAAGGATTAATGGGGAAAGATGGGCTTTTGGAGTCAGTTCTGTTCCTCATGCCACCCACCTGGAAGAGGAAAGCCCTCCCCACTATTCTGTAAACTTACTTAGCAGCGCGCCTGCTCTCCCGCTCTCAACAGTAACAAACATAAAGCAGTATAATGTCCCAGCTGAGGCCATAAGCCCTGTTACTGACCTGATCAAAGATTTGGAACAGCGAGGAATTTTAATTCGTACCCACTCTCGCTTTAATTCTCCTGTGTGGCCCATCAAGAAACCAAATGGCAAATGGAGACTCACTATAGACTATAGGAAGCTAAACAGTAACACTGGACCATTAACTGCAGCAGTCCCTAGCATAACAGATATTGTAAACACCATACAAACCTGGGATAAACCCTGGCTAGCAGTATTAGATGTAAAGGACATGTTCTTCATGGTCCCTTTGCAACCAGCTGACCAGGAAAGATTTGCTTTTACTTGGAAAGGTGTACAATACACTTTTACCCGAATGCCACAAGGGTTTAAACACTCACCCACTATTTGCCATGGGGCACTGGCAAAGGTCCTAGATGACCTTATCCTGCCACCCAATGTACAAACTGTGCAATACATTGATGACATCTTAATAGGTGGGAAAACCCCAGAAGAGGTACAGGAGGCTATGAATCAAATCAAAGGAGCACTAGAAGCCCTTAATTTAGAGTTACCAGCTGAGAAATGCCAAGGTCCCTCCCAAGAGATAAAATTCTTAGGTACTGTATGGATGGGAGGTAGGAGGTCTGTGCCTAATGACACTGTGCAAGAGCTAAATCAGGCACCCTCCCCTGAAAGTAAAGATCAATTGAGACAGATTTTGGGAACCCTGGGGTTTTGGAGAAAACATGTACCTGGCTTTGCCATTATAGCCAGACCATTGTACAATTTGTTAAAGAAAAGTGCTGCCTGGGAATGGGCTCCTGCCCATGAGGAAGCCCTCAGGCAACTAATAGGGGAGATACACACCTATCAGGCTCTGGGTCCCATACATCCTGAAGCCCCATTCCATTTGTACCTAACTGTGGGAGCCACTGGAATGTCTTATGCTCTCTGGCAAGAAAGTGACACTGCTCCCAGACGACCAATTGAGTTTGGTTCCAAGTCATGGCAAGGGTCACAGGCTAACTACACGCCTTATGAGAAGGTGCTTCTGGCAGCTTACACAGCCTTGAGAGAAACTGAGGAATTAACAATTCACACTCCTCTTCCAATCATTAAACCTATATTGGAAGGGAAAGAGTTACCACCTGGTGTAGCACAAAAGATGACTATCCAAAGATGGGCACTTTACATACACCACAGGGTAGGTAGTGCAGACACTGCACAAAACCCCACTATGATTCAGGAATCCCTATGGAAAGTAGGAATGCCTGATGAATACCGCCTACCTCCACAGCAGTCTCCCATTAAGGATGCTGCCCCATTTGATCCTTCTAAGCCTGAGGGAGTATGGTTCACTGATGGCAGTGCCAGGCTGGTTAAAGGAAAATGGAAGGGAAAAGCTGCAGCAGTGCCTGCAGACCCCTCTGCAGCACCCCTAACTGCTGAAATTGATGGGTCAGCACAACTTGCAGAATTAGCTGCAATTAAACTGGCCTGTGAAGCAGGAGCCACCACAGTATATACGGACTCCTATGCGGTGTGGGCAGGTGCCACTCAGTGGATCACTAACTGGAAAAATAACCACTGGGAAATAGGAGGTAAACCAGTCTGGGGACTGGAATACTGGAAGTGGTTATATCAGCATGCCCTGCAACAACCCCTGTCTATAGGACATGTCTCAGCTCATCAGAGGAATAATACCCCAGCTGCACAGTTAAACAATTTAGCCGATGCAGCTGCCCAGCTCTTTACCACACAAGTAGAATGGGAACGCTTATATTCATGGTTACATGATAATTTAGGACACACAGGAAGTGATGAGTTAGTGCGGCAAGCACATATCAGGGGGTGGCCTATCACCCACAGACAGGCTAGAGACCTGGTGCAAGCCTGCACTATTTGTGCTGAGACTAGAAAACATATAGCAGAAGGACAAAGGTTTGCCAGGCTAAGAGATGGAAAAACACTATGGGCAACCTGGCAGGTCGACTATGTCGGACCACTGCCCACTACAAGGCAGACGTGGAAATACATCTTGACTGGGGTAGAAATTGTTTCAGGGATTGGTTTTGCATATCCAACCCGACTGGCAACAGGGTTGTCCACAGTTATGGGACTAAACCGCTTAACAGCAATTGTCCCAATGCCTCAAGAAATCCAATCAGATAATGGTTCGCATTTTAAGAATAAACTTGTAAGGGAATGGACCCTTAACCATGGAGTCCAATGGACCTTCCACCTTCCATATCGACCTCAATCTAATGGCATGGTCGAGCGCTGGAATGGGTTGCTAAAGAATCACTTGAAGCCTACTGATGGCACATGGGGAGACAGACTGGACGAAGTGGTGCAGAGATTAAACAACAGACAGACTCCTACAGGAAGTCCAATCAGCAGGGGATTCTTCCCTACAGGGAAAGCTATCTCCCCTGCCAGAACACCACTGCACAGTTCCAAGTATGCTCCCGGAGACACTATTGTGATTAAACACCCAGCCCTGGGTACCTTTACCTGCGTTTTGCACGCCTATAAAGAGAAAGGTGTATGGAGTGCCTTAAATGCTGATAAAAGGCTAATAACCATTACAGAGGCTTGGATCGCATCCAAGACCGGCTGACCATGTGATTTATTGCAGGAATGGTCCCATGGTTCCGAGCAACCTGCCAGCTAACCTGTCAGCAAAATGGACCATGCAGCAGACCTGTTTGATCACTAGAGACTACTATGGACTGTTGATATATTTGCCATTACTTATAATAGCAGGTGTAATTTTTGCTTTTGGTTTTAAAATAAGTTTTTTAGCTAGAACACGACCCACCAGAGATATGTTCCTGCAAGCCCTCATGATCCTTCTGTTGGCTCCAGTCACCTTGGCAATACCAGAACATCCTCTTCGGGGAGCAATCCAAACCATCGCCTCAGCTGCTGGTGCTACAAATTGCTGGATGTGCACCTTGCTAGATTCAACCAATGGACTGGGACTTGAATTTGTACCACTCAGCCTAAATGATTGGTGGAACAAAAGCGACATCGTTCAGTGGGGACCAGCATGGTACACCAACAACCCTCACAATGACTCGGGGGAGGTGGGACAATGGCATCGCACTGTTTGGGGACAGCCTGTGGAATATGTAACGGGATCATCTAAAGAAGTATACCCTATTTGTTTTGAAACTCAGGGTGACATACAAATGGGTAGTCTAGATAAGCAGCAATGTGCCCATACAATTGTATTTGATCAGAAAAGTGGGGGTTGGACTACCTACCCACCCATGAGCAACAAAAGGACTTTAAAATGTTGGAAAGGTCCCATCAATGGCACACTTGAACATAGACCCCTTTTTAGCATACATAATGCCACAATTGTTCCCCTGAATATGAGTAGATACCCTGAAAGCAGAGATTGGTATGACCAATCACTGTTCTTTATTCCCAGTTCCGGACACATTTATAACCCATTGCTAATCAAATCTATTAACTCCTTATTAGATCAGTGTAATGAAAATGGACTTTTTCGCTCAGATCAAATTTTAGAAGATTTGTTAATAGTTTTGCTCTGTACTAACATTAAGATGGGATATTGTGTTCCATATCACCAACCCATACCTAAACCTGAGGGGGGCAGGTGGCACAGAGGACCTTATTCACCTATTCTTAGTAAAGAACCTGGCTTGTTCTTTATTTGTGGGGACAAGGCATATAAATATCTACCTGTAGGTTGGACTGGAAGGTGTTCACTGGGACATGCAGTACCCGAGGGACTAACAGTACACCCTCATGTTAATGCCCCCAGAATAACAAATCTGGGAAGTTTTATACATCGGTCCAAACGAAAGTTCACCTACAACCCCCTGATTGAACGGCCCTCTGGTTTTCACCGATTTACACGTGCACTTATACCTTGGTTAGGTATAACTGAGCTCGAGATGGCAATAGCAAACGTTTCTGGACAATTGGAAATTGCTCTGAATCATACTGCTGATGCATTAGGGCTTTTAAATGAACAACTTCAGTCTGTGGCCCGATATGCTCTGCAGAACAGAATAGCACTGGACGCTACCCTAGCCCAGCAAGGAGGAGTGTGTGCTGTCATCAACCAATCTTGTTGTTTTTATGTAAATCATTCAGGGCAAATAGAGCAAGATGTGGTTGCTATTAAAGGTGCAGTTAAAATTTTACATGCAGTGGCTGAGAATGGACAAACCTCATGGATGCAATGGTTAGCTCAACACTTGGGATTTTCCCTCTCCCCGTTTTTACATTCGGTTGTAAATACTGTTTTAACCATTTTAATTATTGTAATTGTTTTTTGTGTCACTTTATGTATTATGAAGCGTTTGATTCAAACTGCTCTTTCCTCCACGCAAATCAAATACCTAGAGCTAAAAAGGGATCCTAACCAATTCCGCGAACCCTCATCCTCTAATTTGGTTGTTGGGTATTTCTAGATTTCCCCAAGGAGGGCAAGAGGTGCTGGCATCACCGCCACCTTGCAATCTGGGATGTAGTGTGGTGCATCAGGGGGTGGAATGTAGCCAGACAGCCAGCCCCCCCCCCCCCCCCTCAGACCAGCATTGCTGGAAACACAGGAGGAAGCAGGAACAGGGCACTTAACATATATTCCAGCACAGCCTTTGAAGCACAGGTGTGCTGCTACAATGTGCCTCTGGGAACAGATATGACGATTAAGCTCACAGCAGGCAGAGGCCCTGTGACAGACCTGGCTCTTAGCCCCTACTAAGTAGTGTGATGCACACACACCAACATCCTAGGTGGGAAAATATTTACCCTGATAAAAGAAATGTCCAGTAGTCGAAACTTATTGTTTCTCTCCCTTGCAAGTGTAAACTACTCTTGCAAAAGCTGGCGTCACCCCGACAGACCAGCCTCAATTTGGCATAAGAAAGGAGAAAGAGAATAAAGGAGTACAGAGGTATAAGTAGGGGACCTACAGCACCATGATTTTTGAGTGCTTTTCACTATCTATCTGCTGGTCAGATAAGTGACAGCCTCCCAAGGCTTCTGCAGCTAAGAGGGTCCCTACGCCTTGTCCCTTATTCGTCTTTCCGCGGAATTGAGTGACCGATCCTGGCTTGGCACCGCTGGAATCGAGAGATGCAAGGAGGGTAAGAAGCACCCACACCTGATCTCCTATCTTTAGTGTACACATATTTTGAAATAGAGCTCTATACTTTGTTTTCTTTCTTTGGGATTGTGGCTTCAGTTTTGTAACTTGTTTGTGTGTGTGTAACATCTCTACATTTAAATAAGTAGGCACTAGCAATTTTGTAACCACATGATTAGAATCTAGCTTAATAAATTTTGGTAACCATTTATGCATAAGCCTGACTTGTTTTCTCTGGTTTACTGTAAAGCAGCCATCACAATTAAAGAACCTCAGCCGTTTTGGCTCTAAAGCCTGGCCATTAGGTGAGAGTACTAAGAGCCTAGCGTTGAGTTGTGCCGCCTCCACGGGGCAAACTCTTGGGGCACCTGTCAGTCAATCCTGGCTGCCCGCTGCGAAGGAGCTCTGAGCTCTAGCAGTTAAAGTCACGGGTGGTTAGGACCTTGGGGCATCCGTCAGCCTAGCCCTGGCTGCCCGCCGCGAAGGGACAGTGCGTCCTAGCGGTTAAAGTCACGGATGGTATAAACGGGCATAGCTGGCACCTCACCAAACATCCTTGGCCGTCGGCTAACAGGACCTCCCCGGGGTGAGTGGGGATAGATCCCGGGGGGCCAGTTCCGCAGGGAACCTCGAGACTAAATTGCTGCCCCTGGTTAAGGAGGGGGGGGTGTGGATGCCCACCTCACTGCCTTTGAGCAGGCTGGCGATTTGAACCAAGGGGACCCTGCGGAAAAGCCCCGGTGTCTAGCTCCCTTGCTGGGTCCCAAGGCCACAGACTCCGTCAGCCAGATGGTTGGGGATGTGGACAGGCTCCCACTCCTGACCCCAACCTATATGTCTGTGTGGAGTTTCCTGGGGCCAGGCCCCCCCGGACCTCCAGTGGGAGCAGAAGGTGATGGTCAATGGGGAGACATTCTTGGGGTGGCCAAAGGGCATGGGCTGCATAAACCTTCCCACATGCGGCCTGCGAGTGCTATCGACCACCCCTGACCTAAGGGAGGGCGTGAAACCGGAAGGGCCTGGTGTAACTCCTACCAAGGAATGGGAGAGATGCTGGGGCATCCATGGGAACGTTGGTGGCTTCGAACTTCCCCAGGTCACCGGCTAAAGTGACCCCGCTCAGTTCGATCTCGAAGGGGGGAGAGATGTGACGAAGTGGGACTGTTCTTAATGTTTCCTCTGAATAGTGTGGGGGTGCCTCAGTTTCCCCTAGGCAGTTCTTAAGTATCTAGGTGGTGGGGTAAGGGTGTATGATCATTGCAGAGCCCTAGAGGGCAGGTGTGTGCAGGGGTCTGGACACAGAGAATGGCCGACACCCTGTTTCCTGGCAACTGATGGCCTGGGCCCTTCCCCCGCTGCAAGGTGAGAGCTGAAGGGTTGGAGAACAAAGGAATCAGGTGACCTACTGGCCCGGGAAAGGAACAAAGCCCAGAGGAGGAGGGGCTGGAGGGGTTTTTCAGTTTGGGGCTGGCTGGGACATGGAGTGAAGTGCAGACGTGGTTGTCTGGCTCACTGCCCCCCAGAATGGACCCAGCTGAGGGGTCCCGTTCTCTGCACCTGCAAGCTCTGTTTTAGACCATGTTCCTGTAGTCTAATAAACCTTCTGTTTTACTGGCTGGCTGAGAGTCACGTCTGACTGCGAAGTTGGGGTGCAGGACCCTCTGGCTTCCCCAGGAGCACCGCCTGAGAGGACTCGCTGGGGGGAAGCGCAGGGAGGGGCAGAGGATGCTGAATGCTCCGAGGTCAGACCCAGGAAGGGGGAAGCCGGGTGAGCTGTGTGTCCTGAAGACAGGCTGCTCACAGAAAGGCGACTACCCCAGAGTCCTGACTGACTTCATGGGGAGCAGTTCCAGAGCATCGCCCAGGGACTCCGTGACACCTCCTCCATCTCCCTCCCTCCCCTGGGGCGGGGTTGAAGCGCTGGGAGGTCTGGATGGGCTGGGTGTCCTTTTGGGATTAGTTCGAGTAGGTGCAGCTGTCTGGTGTCTATTCAGTGACATTCTGTGTCTCTGTTGAAGTGAGCCTGGCTAGATCAGCACTGAAGGCCATCCGTGGCTGTTCTAACTCTGGAGAGTCTCGCTATTCACAGCAGAGTCTGATCCCTTTTGGTATCTTACTAAGTTCTTGCCCTCGGTGATGTTGCCCTGGGCTCAGCTGAGCCGGGGGCATCTCCTGCAGCAAGCTCGCCCTGATTTCCCAGCAATAAGTCGATATTTAACTCAATAGGCCACCTGATTTTTACATTCTAAAACATGAAATGGTCTTTTTCTGGCTCAACCCAAGAGCTTCCAACCAGGCTCTTGAGTTGAGATGAGAAGAGCCCCCCGCCCCAGCTTCACCCAGAACTGGCGTTGGAATGAGCAACAAGCCCTTTTATCTTGCCTTTTGGGCCCTGATTGGCTTCTGCCTGGCCCTGGCCCTTCTAGCCACTGGAGGACCAGACCTCATTGGTTCCCTCAACATCTGATCCTGGGTGGCTGCTCTAGCAGGGGTGCCATTTAAGGGGGTTCCCCACTCCGAGTGTCATACAGGAGGGGGTGAGCTCCCAGGTGGGACTCTTAACCACAGCACAGCGTTAATGGGAATGGAGGCTCTGCAGAGGAGCAGTGCCCCTGGGGCAGGGAGCCAGTGTTTCTTTTACAAACAGAAGCAGGATGATTACCATATGAAAGGGCTGGTGATTAAATTAAGGATCTAGAAGCCTAGCCTGTAAAACTGGAATCCCTGGGGGGGAGGGTTTGTTTTAGAGAGAACACAGGGGACTCAGGATAAATGCAGCCAAGCCCTCGCAGCCAAGGTTCCATTCAGAAAAGGGGGAGATTTGGAGGTGTGGGTGAAAAGAAGGGGCCAAAAGCAAGGGAAGGGCCAACAGTGGTACGGAGGTTCCCACTCTACCTGTGGCATTTATGTGGCCCCATCACTGTAGTATCTGAGCGCCTCACAAGGTCTAACCGACTTCTCCTCTCAGCCCCTCGGTGAGGTAGAGCAGTGCTGTTATCCCCATTGTACAGGTGGGGCACTGAGGCACACGCAGACTAAAGGCCAGATTTTCAAAGGTATTTAGTCACTGAGTGGGATCTTCAAAAGTGCCTAGAAGGTCAGGTGTTTTGTAAACCCCATTAGATGCCTAGCTGCATCTTTGGGTGCCTAAAATGTTTTGAAACTCTGTCCTTAAGGCACTGGCCTGAGGTCTTACAAGAAGGCCATGCAAGGAGTAAAACTCGGGTCTTTCAGGATTAGCTCCCTACCTATCTCTCTGCTGCCTGCTGTGAAAAGAGGACTCTGATAGCTGGGAGCAAAACCAAGGTGGCCAGTTCTGAGACTCCAGCAAACAATCCCAGGAAGCTGGGATGGAGGTCCTGGCTGACAGCATGAAAAGCAGCACAGAGGTCAGGAAGGATGGAGCAGGTGAGATGAGAGGAGATCACTTAACTCCCAAGGGGTGGCAGGTTCGGCCCCAGGCTGGGTTGTACAGCAATGGCGGCTGAGCATTTTTACATTTCAACTGAAAACTATTGTGTTTGGTCATTTTTTGCTCTGAGCTTGAAGAAAGGAAGGAACGAGAAAGTGTTGTATGAGTATCGGAAGTGTTTAAGCCTCAAATTCTTAGGGTTTTGGTTGTATCCAGGCCAATTCCCAAACAAAGAATAGAAACTGCATCCACAGAGTCCATAAAGTCAATGATTATTGTCCAGATCTGTATTATTCACTAGACATCGTCTGTGCTGAGCACTGTTCAGAATATGCCAGTAAATGCAGTCCCCTAGGGTACGTCTACACTACCAGCTGGATCGGCAGTAGTGATTGATTGGGGATCGATTTATCGCATCTAGTGTAGACGTGATAAATCGATCGCTCTGCCGTCGACTCCTGAACTCCACCGCAGCGCAAGGCGGAAGCGGAGTCGACGGGGGAGCGGTGGCCGTCAACCCCGCGCCGTGAGGACGCCAGGTAAGTCGACCTAAGGTAAGTCGACTTCAGCCACGCTATTCTCTTAGGTCGATTTCTCCCCCGCAGTGTAGACCAGGCCTTAAGTCCATGTGTCTAACCTGTGGAGCCCTGGATAAGACGGCACAAATATTTAAGTATGAAGTGTGTCGTCGTTAAGCACATATTAATATCCATGAGCGGAGGCACTGATGGCAACAGACGTTTTACTGGATTAAGGACTTGAAGATTTGACCCTCCAACTTTCTTTCAAGAGGAAGAGCTGCCCGGAGCTCCTCTGCCTGTTCGTTTCCCTCTCCTGCCTGCCGCAGCCCTCAGATACCACAGGCAGCTTAACTTTTTTTCTCAACTTTAAAACGTGGCATCTTCTTGGTGTTTGGTTTTAAGTGTTCTGCTGTGAGAACTGCAGCTCAGTCACTGGAGTGTTGTGTTTCAGAGCCTTCGGGAGAGTAACTAGCCTTTAAACAGAAGGGAAAGCATGTTGCCAAC